TTTTTTTTTCCAAAGCAGAGGTGTTAGTCTATAAGCAATAAAGGATTCATATTGATCATCTTTTTAAACATATGGATCATCACATCATATTAAAATTGATCAATGGAAGCATTTTATGTAAGATATACTAATCATTTGATCCAGGGTCAAAGGCCAAAGCTCTATGAATAATGTGTCATAATCAATAGAACTCAAGATGACCAAAGCTAAACTTCTCAGGTAACAAATAGCTCATAGACCATTTCAGAGCCATTCATCTCAGGTATAGTTTCCTGCTCCTTGAGATAATTGTCACTGTGCCCTGAGGGTGGTCAGTAAAAAAATTTAATAAAAATAATAATAAATAAATAAATAATAATGTATGCACTCACTAACTGTAAGTCGCTCTGGATAAGAGCGTCTGCTAAATGACTAAAATGTAAAATGTAATGTAATGTGTTTTCAGCTAGATAATCTGCAAGGTCGGTGATCTGCCTGTATGTGCATTGCATGGGTTTATTATTGAGTCATTAGCCTACTATTTTCCATAATAGGGGTGTTATTATGTGAGACAATATAGCAGTGGTGTAAAGTACTTAAGTAAAAATACTTTAAAGTACTACTTAAGTAGTTTTTTGGGGTATCTGGACTTTACTTCACTATTTATATTTTTGACAACTTTTACTTTTACTTCACTACATTGCTAAAGAAAATAATGTACTTTTTACTCCATACATTTTCCCTGACACCCAAAAGTACTCGTTACATTTTGAATGCATAGCAGGACAGGAAAATGGTCCATTCACACACTTATCAAGAGAACATCCCTGGTCATCCCTACTGCTTCTGATCTGGTGGACTCACTAAACACACATGCTTAATTTTTAAATTATGTCTGAGTGTTGGAGTGTGCCCCTGGCTATCCGTAAATTTAAATAAAATAAAAAGAAAATTGTGCTGTCTGGTTTGCTTAATATAAGGAATTTGAAATTATTTATACCTTTACTTTTACTTTTGATACTTAAGTATATTTTAGCAATTACATTTACTTTTGATACTTAAGCATATTTAAAAACAAATTATTTTAGACTTTTACTCAAGTAGTATTTTTCTGGGTGACTTTCACTTTTACTTGAGTCATGTTCTATTAAGGTATCTTTACATTTACTCAAGTAGGACAAGTTGGTACTTTTTCCACCACTGCCATATAGGGAATAATTGTACATAATCTTTTTAGATATTTGGATCATCTCTGTTTTGGCCAAAGGTGATGACTATATTGTCATGGTCACTTGGTGGAAAATGGAAGCATTTTATGCAAGATGTCCACTAATCATTAGATCCAGGGGCAAGGGCCAAAGCTCTATAATAAGATAACAACATTTAATCCTTTAACCCTTGAAGTGTTGTGTTTCCACAGCCTGCCTGCAGCTTATATTCATACATAGGCCATTTCAGAACCATTTATCTCAGGTGATTTCCTACTCCTAGTGATAATTGTCGCTGTACCCTGAGGGTGGTAAGTCTTTGCAGATAGCTAATCTGTGAGGTAGGCAATCTCGATCAATAAGTGTTTATCTCTTGCAATCTGGAACTCATTAAAACAATTAAACTCGCCGTAAACGTTTTGACTTCTCTCTCAAGAATAATCTCCAATGACAGACATCAGTAAAGGAGAAAAATATTGTTTCGTCTGTCATCCAGACTGACCGGATGAATTACACAGAAAAAGAAAGAAATTACATTATTCTCTGTCAAAGACAGACAACCCCTATACAGACCTAGCTCAATAGCCAGAAGGGCTTACAACTCACAACCTTCCAACCCTAAAGCCCAACAACCCTGATTATCATCAACCCTAACCGGGCCCTCAGATCAAAAATACTTCAAAGTGCGTCATCTAACTATACTCTCAGTCCCACCACATCAGACAGACACAGTTACCAGCAAAAACATGAGACGATAGTCCGTTTTTTAGGCCTATGAGACAGATAGCTAAACAGTGGAACAAACTACACAACAGATTTCTCTGGTAAACTGTGTGGCCGACAGGCATTCTATAAAGGGCGGGACAAATTATCGACACAACCCAATGAGTACGCTCTGTGTAGTATGTCATGGGTCTATGGCTTTATGAGCAAGCACTCCACTCTCACATAATGCCAAGGGCATGATAGATATGCAGCTAAACGATGGGGTGCTAATTATCAAGATTGTAACCACAACGCTGTCGAGATGGAAGCAATTTTAGCAGGAGTAATCTGCCGGTTAAACTCAGCAAACTTCAATATTTTACAGTAACTAGGACAGTGTGAGAAAGAATGGAGAGAACATGAAGTCCCAATCTTCTGTGTAGCGTCCAAGTGAGGTGACTGGATAGTACCAATGAGCCTTGAGGTTAGAGAAGCAGGCCAGTAAGCACAGGATCGCCGGTTCAAGTCCCAGGGCTGATGGGACCAATTTGGTGGGAGTGAGCTGCCAACTGAATCTGCCATCAGTATAAATCTGACTGCATCAGAATATCAGGTGCCACCAACTACCATTGTGCCCTTAAGCAAGGCACTTAACCTGCTTCAGGGATGTTGCTCTGCGGCTGATCGTGTGCTGCCTTCTCCTGGTGACCAGGGACAATCATTGTAATACTGGCTTGTGTAACAGATGGGGATCTGTGAACCTCAGCCTGAAGCGTCTCCACTTGCACTGCTGGATAGCTAGCTTTTTCGCGGAGCGACTGGGTACGACTCTTCAGGAGGGTGGTCACGTGTGTTTGCAAGGCAGAGATCCTGTGTTCAAGCCTCAGTATGAGCCGAATCAGGAGGAAGCGGATCTCGCTAACAAAGCAGCATGACGTCCTTTACATTTGCAGTCTATATCGCATCAGTGGCATGTATTCTTGGTCGCCAAGGGAAGCCAGGCTTCCCCAAAAAATTTACAATAAAAAAAATAATAATAACATTAAATAACGTATATTTCGTTTCTTTGTGTTTCATAATTTTCCAAGAGGGTGAATGTTTCACACAGGAGAAAGCATCTGAGTGAGCGAAACAACGCCCCTCTGTCTCTCTACGTGTAGGCCATCTAGCTGATACTGTCTGGTCCAAATGAGTATGACATAGTTGCTGCCCGTAGCTTTGAATGCAAGGGAAGCCAGCGAGCATTTGGCCTCCCTTGACCAAAAAAATATCAGCATTGAGCTAAACTGAACGAGCTCAACTGTGAATGGTCCTGGCTTGAAAAATGAATGTGTCAAGGGAAGCCAGCTTGGATTTGGCATCTTTCCTATCGAATCGCTAAGCTAGCTAAAATTGGCCTTTTCCTAAATTAGCCATGGATGGAGATAGGGATTTGGACTTGTAGTTTTACTTAATTATCCGTACTGGCCAATGATTATAATGGCGATTCTGATCCAACCATTAAATCATACATTGTCGTGCCCCTGGCCTGAGAGGTTTGAAGTTAAATATGTACAGTAGCTAGATGTAGAAGGCTAATGTTAACTAGCTAAAGTTGCCCATGAATGGAAGTTAGGCTAGCAAGCAAGCATTTTAGCCAGGTAGCCTAGGACACCAAAAAAATAAATGTGTGTACTGTTTCATGACAGAGTGATAGACCGTTTCATCAACATGAAAGAGAGGAGGAGGGCATTGGAATTTCTCTACAAGTAGGGTGAGTCAACATGTTTTTCTACTTGCAGGAGCACGCGCGCGCACGCACACGCACACACACACAAACAGAAATCAGAGCCATGGACAGCCACATCATATTTAGTTTATGTTGATTGGACTAAATTGTTTTTGGTATCTTTTAGTTGTCACTGTATTAGACTAAGCAGAGGTGATTTGATGATGTTGAAATATTGAAGTTGAAATGGTGCTGGAATATTGGAGGCAGCTCCTGTTTTCTTTGCAACTTGCGGTAACTCTCTGTGGTTCTAAATCAATAGTTGTTTTGTGGTCCGAAAATGTCGGAAACAACTCGCTTAACCATACTGTCTGTCACATGCAATATGCGTTGTAGACTTCACCTGACAGAGGTTGCTATCCGGTTTTGTAATAAAACAAAGGTGTGGTTGAATTTATTCTGCCACTGTCTTCTTATTGTCTCTGCCTTTAGGCCTATAAATCACGGTCACAAGGCATATGAATTAACATTAAACAACGCTGGCTTCTCCAGTGATTTTACCCACACACCGCTACCGTATCGCATAACCCATAACCCTACTCCATATATCCAGCTCTTCTAAATATAATTGTGTTATTCAGTCAGATGTATTTTGACACTGCAAACAAGCAGACTGACATCAGACATAACATTTACCTATATCTTGTTAGGGGTCTAGCCTATACATTCTTTGTGGGAATACTTGAAACAATATGTATATTTTTTTATCACTATGTCTGCCCTCTAAATAACTTTGTAATGTCTAGCTGTTTAGAATTTGAAACAATTTCTGCCATCTTCGCCACTGATGTCTTCGTTTGAGCTTATTTTCACCAAGTGGCAAAAAATGGAATTGACCAGGGGAATGCTCATGTCGAAACCCAGTGTCTAATTTGGGAATGTCTAATTGGCATTTTGGATCCATCAAAAGTAAAGCTGAGAGGAGAGCTCTGCCCTTAGATTGCTGGCTCGCCCTTTGTGATGCGGCTTCCAGCAATGAGCCTCTGTGTGTAGTGTCATGTCATTGTATCCATCCATAGCCTAGCCTACTGCACTCATAGCTCACACAAAACGGTACCTTGCCTTGCCTCTCTCCTTCTTCGATCACCGATGGGGCTATTGAATGATTCTTATTTTATTTTTGCGCCCAACTTGGACATTCTCTCGTGCGCGCTATATTTGTCAAGACAGGCTGTGTCAATCAATCCGAACTACTGTTTGTAAAAAGTAGATATCTGAAGAGTATCAATTTTATCGCGGTGGATTAATCAATGGACCTAATAAGGCTTCGATGGAAACTATTGAGTCCGATTTTGCCACTCATGGAAAAGGACTAATATACAATTTTCGGCCATGCCATAATGGTTATAATACTGGTTTTGTTATTGTTGAATTTGATGCATCCCAGTCACCAAAAGCCCCGTTCTTCTATGGAGGTTAGGACATCTTCTCCACAGTGTGCGGGTGGGTATCAGAGCTTTAACCCGAGGCAGCGCAGGGATGCTGCGGGGCGTGGAGGAGTGTACGAGCACCTTGGGGGAGCACCGAGACACAGAAAGCTGTACTGTGCCACAAAGTATCACTTACAAATACATCCCAATGGGAAAATAGACGGGACCCTGGAGGAGAATAACCCTTTCAGTGAGTACAATATAACTTACTCTCGTATATTTATGCCTTGTTATATGCTATGCATATACAGTTTATGTTCAGCCACTATATAGGCTATAGTCGAATAAGAATAGCCTATGCAGAAATACTTTTAAAGTAGGCCTAGATAGATCATTATGTTGTTTTTTCTGTTGGTACATTGGAGTGATCAGAAGGCAGCTCTAAATAGTTAAGACAGAAGGATACTGGATGATGTAAAGTGTTACTGAAATCCTTAACTTTTGTTTTGTTGCATCCAATACAACAGTAGTGTCTCTACATTATAATAGCATTGTTATTACATTGCCTTAACATTTGGCATAGCATGAAATGAGAATGAATTAATGTTTTGTTTTTTATCTACTGTATTGTTTTTCCATCCAGGCATATTGGAGATCGCAGCAGTGGATGTGGGAGTGGTGGTGATTAAAGGACTGTTCTCTGGTAGATATCTGGCCATGAACGAAAAAGGAGGACTATATGCATCGGTAAATGTGGCATGATCTCTGAGATCTTTCTCTGTCTGCCTGCCTGCCTGCCTCTCTCTCTCTCTCTCTCTCTCTCTCGCTCTCTCTCTCTCTCTCTCTCTCTCTCTCTCTCTCTCTCTCTCTCTCTCTCTCTCTCTCTCTCTCTCTCTCTCTCTCTCTCTCCCTCTCTCTCTCTCTCTCTCTCTCTCTCTCTCTCTCTTTCCCTCTCTCTAATAATTGGATAATTGACTACCATTCCTATTCAGTCTCATTTTAATATAACATAGTCCTAAACTTGGTAAAACTTTCACTGTAATACATTTGGTTTCAACTAAATGTCTATTTTCTCAGGCTGCCTTCAACCAGGAGTGTGAGTTCATGGAGCGGATCCATGAGTTAGGCTACAACACCTACGCTTCCCGCCACTACCAGACAACCACTCCCTCCACCTCAACAGGAAGCAGCAACAGGCAAAGGGCGAGCGCTGAGAGGCTGTGGTATGTGTCAATCAATGGAAAGGGCCGGCCAAAGCGTGGCCTGAAGACTCGCAGGACAGAGAAGGCCTCCCTCTTCCTGCCCAGGGTCCTTGGCCACAAGGACCATGACATGGTTCACCTGTTGTTCAACAGTAGTCTAGGGTACAGACTTACAGGAAAGACAGGGCCAAGGAGACAGAGACATGTTTCTATATCCAGGGAGTTTGATGACTAGTCTCACTTTCCAGGCTCATGGCACTCCACACTACGGCTGTGAAAAGAGCATGACTACCTACCTGGTGACTGAGAGATACCAGCACACCTTTCCCTCCTTTAAACTGGCATAATGATACTGTTTGAATGATGTACAACCTTATATAGAGAATGGATGCATCATGCTGTCTTATGAATAAAGGGGTCAATTTCTTGAATGTATCTTTGTACTGTTATTGTTATCTCACATTATCGGAAATACATGCAGTTAATGTCCGGTATAATTATTGTTGAGGAACATTTCATACAAAGATGGATGCATGCATGCGGATTACCCAAGATTATAATGTACAAAAATGACTTTGTTCTAATAATTGTCCTCTTTGGCTCTGTTGGTAGAGTTTGATGCATTCAATGCCAGGATTGTGGGTTCAGTCCCTGCTGGTGCCACCTATATAAATGCAAGCATGACTGTAAGTCGTTTTGGATAAAATAATCTGCTGAATGATATATATATATAGATAGATATAGATATACAGTGCATTCGGAAAGTATTCAGACCTCTTCGCTTTTTACACATTTTGTTACGTTGCAGCCTTATTCTAAAATTGATTAAATTAAATTTTAACAGGTTTTTAGACATTTTTGCAAATTTAAGAAACAGAAATACCTTATTTACATAAGTATTCAGACCCTTAGCCATGAGACTCGAAATTGAGCTCAGGTGCATCCTGTTTCCATTGATCATCCTTTAGATGTTTCTACAACTTCATTGGAGTCCAGCAGTGGTAAATTCAATTGATTGAACATGATTTGGAAAGGCACACACCTGTCTATATGAGGTCCCACAGTTGACAGTGCATGTCAGAGCAAACACCAAGCCATGAGGTCAAAGGAATTGTCCGTAGAGCTCCGAGACAGGACTGTGTCGAGGCACAGATCTGGGGAAGGGTACCAAAAAATGTCTGCAGCATTGAAGGTCACCAAGAACACAGTGGCCTCCATCATTCTTAAATGGAAGAAGTTTGGAACCACCAAGACTCTTCCTAAAGCTGGCCGCCCAGCCAAACTGAGCAATCGTGGGAGAAGGGCCTTGGTCAGGGAGGTGACCAAGAACCCGATGGTCAAGAACCCGAGATCCTCTGTGGAGATGGGAGAACCTTCCAGTAGGACAACCATCTCTGCAGCACTCCATCAATCAGGCCTTTATGGTAGAGTAGCCAGACGGAAGCCACTCCTCAGTAAAAGGCACATGACATCCCGCTTGGAGTTTGCCAAAAGGCACCTAAAGGACTCAGACCATGAGAAACAAGATTCTCTGGTCTGATGAAACCAAGATTGAACTCTTTGGCCTGAATGCCAAGCGTCACGTCTGCAGGAAAGCTGGCACCATCCCTATGATGAAGCATGGTGGAGGCAGCATCATGCTGTGGGGATGTTTTTCAGTGGCAGGGAAGACTAGTCAGGATCGAGGGAAAGATGAATGGTGCAAAGTACAGAGAGATCCTTGATGAAAACCTGCTCCAGAGCACTTAGGACCTCGAATTGGGGCGTAGGTTCACCTTCCAACAGGACAAAGACCCTAAGCACACAGCCAAGACAACGCAGGAATGGCTTCGGGACAAGTCTCTGAATGTCCTTGAGTGGCCCAGTCAAAGTCCGGACTTGAACCAGACCGAACATCTCTGGAGAGACCTGAAAATAGCTGTGCAGCTATATTTTTTTTATTTATTGCAAAAATATCTAAAAACCTGTTTTTGCTTTGTCATTATGGGGTATTGTGTGTAGATTGATGAGGAAAGAAATACAATTTTATCAATTTTAGAATAAGGCTGTAATGTAACAAAATGTGGAAAAGGTCAAGGGGTCTGAATACTTTCCAAATGCACTGTATATATATAATTTATTGATTTGCCTCCATTACTTGTTTTATCGTAAATACGTTTTCTATGTATTTTTTAATACTGTTTTTTGATCTTTGAAACTCAAGTGTCATTTGTCATGGTATTCTCTATGTATTTTAGCCTACATTTTTTAAAGAATTGTCTTAAAATAACTGTAGTAAATTAATCTATAAAACAATTGACCAGACTGTAAGTGTTGGGATATGCAGTGTTGAGATTTTTCTGAACACAGGGCTACTGCTAGCATGTTGTGTCAGTTATCATTGGGTCCATTAGCATGTGGTCTGTGTGATTTCTGAGTTAAGCATAGGGTTGGGTCTGTTCTGTTTGTAGACACTGCACCCTAGAGGCAGCAAGTCAAACATCTTCTCTCTCTTTAGAGGTTCTGTACACAATAACTTACATTCCATGAGAGCAACATTACTTTTAAAAATAATGATCTAAAACTATTATTCCCCAATGACAACAAAAACATAAAGGCATTTTTTTTGTTGTTGTAATGTTAAAGTAGGAAAGTTGTAGGGCCTGTTAATCTGTTAATCTCAGTGAGGTATTCGCACTTCAAAAACTGAACAAGGACGTCACTGATGCATCACCCTGGCCAGCACAGTGATGTGATGATAACGCAAAACCACATGGCTGAAATGCAGCACCTTGGAGAGCGTCTGAGAACACTTAGGCAGGCCTACATAAGAACACTCTGACGATACTATCCGGAATTCAATAGCCTACCTTAAATTATTATTGTGAAATTGGCTCTTCATTGATACAAAAAGGGGTAGGCTACTGTCAACAAACGCTAGCGAATATTTATGATAATTTATAAATTTTAGGCTACTTGAGAGTGTACAAGTTTAATTTTATTAAATATATTTAAAAAATAAGTATTTAAAATTTCTGCCCAAAATAATAAGGATTGTTTTGAATCCATTGTATTTAGGAGTTCAATTTAATAAAAAATATCATAATTTGAAACATCAAACGAGTGAAGATGCTTATAATTTGAGATTATTTGCCACACAAATTCCCAAAGGATTCGTTTTAGGTATAATTTAACAACAATTAGCCGCATTCTTTCCACCAGTAATTCCCCAGCTTGAAAGAATAGAATAAACTTGTGAGCAGGTGCAAAACTCGCTGCTCCTTGCGCATCACTTGATACCTCTATGTCATCTTGGTTGGTGGTTATGTATTACACTAGCTAAGTGACAATAGGCTTTCCATGGTGTGGATGGTCACACATAGGGTTCAAACCTCGAGCGAACCTTTGATATGGGTGTTTTACTCATGGGTACCTAACTCAGTATTGGCCACCATGGGCCAGAAGTTCAGTCTAATAACGGACATTTTCAACATCCTATGCGTAACGGCTTAGTAGCCTACATTGTGCGTAAGTGCTTGGTACGGTCTACGGGTATTACATTGTGTTCAGTTGATCAGATAGGCAAAAGATAACTGTATCCTATTCCTTTACATCCCTCATCTTCATGGTACAGTAGGAGACTTGGGTTGATAAGGCCACTAACTGTTTTAAGATTAAAAGTTTTTTGCATCAAAATATTAAAAATGTTTTGTTGATATTGTAATCTTGAGATACTTACAAAATTTTAGATTTTGTCTGATGATTATTTTCTGTGCAAGAGAAAGCCCATCCATTATTTTCGGTAGTCTAAAAGTGGAAATTCATATTAAGAAAGCGGTTGATTTCCTTTTATGGATTCATTTATAGCAGTCTCCTGTGCAAAGGTCTGTTAGCGTTTCAGCTTCCTATTCTGCATCCTGCTATACATCATTTATTATATTTCAGTCGATATTGGAGGAAGTTTTAGACAAAGATCTCATGCGTAATCCTCCCTGTCTCCTGGACACATCTTGAGGAGTCAGGAGTTTGTGCGGCGTAAAGACTCAATAGCCTAAATACAGGATGGGCAAACGCTTAATAAAGGCTACATGTGTCAGCTCACACTAAAATTACAGTGGCAACTACTGAGTGCATTGAGATGTTCTGCATGGTGCGCCCCGCCACTCCGAGATCAGAGCGCCCAAGGGGAGGTGGTTTTCTGAGTGCCTTTGCGTCGGAGGTAACTAGCGTGCATGTGGATTGAGTTGAGAGCAACCTTTTGTTACAGTAGTAGGCGTGTGATGTAATTTCGGGGCACATATAAGTATCGTCAGGAGAGAAAAGACATGGCTATGTCTTGCAACACGACTGACAATTCACAACTCGAACTAAAAGTAACTCGGAATAGAGTAATTCAGCGGAGCCATTGAAGTAGCCTACAGAAAATACTTCATGCAGACTCAAAAATAAGTTCACTGGATAGCCTAGTGAGGCTCCACAACTTTTCCGTCAAAGTGGGGTTTGGGGAATTGTAAAACAAATTCAAACAAGTGAGATCGCATTGACCACACAGGGATGTCTGTCCACGCGTCCTGGCTACCAGTATCGCTGCTGGTGTGGGGACTGGTCTGCAGCTCAGTGCGCACTGCCCCGTTGGCGGGTAGGCAGAACGGCGCTCTAGAGCGGCATTGGGAAACGCTCTACTCTCGATCACTGGCTCGGAACCCATGGGAAAAGAGAGAAATCACCCGGGATGGTGAATATCTTATGGGCATCAAAAGACTTAGGCGTCTCTACTGCAATGTCGGCATTGGGTTTCATATTCAAGTTTTACCAGACGGAAAGATAACTGGAATACATAACGAAAATAGATACAGTAAGTTCATTTTCATACTTCTATTTAAACCAGCATCTTTGGGCACACTTGTTTGATGCCCCTCTCTTGGTCTGCACACCTGTTTGTGCCATGTGCCACCACTTTGGAACTTCATATTGTGAGATTGGGTTGTGTGAATGGGCACCATGCCAACTTCAACATAATACTGTGTTTAGATTAGGCTACTAGCGAATTGACGTCACGTGTTAGTATTTTTGTCCCATGGCCATGAGGACAGTGGAAGGAGTGTTTTAGCCAAATGTGATTTCGGCTTCTTTGCAAGGCTTTGATTCATGCGCATCATTGAACAATTTTTGCGGTTCTATTAAAAAAAAAAAAAGGCTTCAGGACATGTTTCTGAAGTGTCAAAAGGAATCACGGATAGTACCAGATCTGAGGGTTTGGACTTGATGATAACTGTTGGCTATCAGTCTATTGGGGTGCAATTGGGTTAGTTATTCTCTACCCACAGTCCAGTATAAAGTCAGGACAATATTTCGACTTTTTTTTCTTCCTTCCTCACACATTAGTCTTGTATTTTGATACATTCCTCCAATAGAATAACAGAGACTTATTGTTATTTTTTATCTTATGAAAACCCATAGACATAACAATTTGGAGTTTTATCAGAACTCCAAACTGCCAGGAACTCATACTGGGAACTTTAGTGAGAGGAAGTCTATATCATATTTAGCCTACTTGACGCTCTGATAAGTTGTCATCTAATACCAAGGGAGGAAAGCATCAATTTCCTTGCAAGATGTTTTAGTAACAGTTTGAAAATAGACCTAAATAGACCTTTGTCTACCACAGTCTTCCTTATCTGCTTCATTTCACATAGACCTGTGTCTACCACCTTATCGACTTTATCTATTTCACAAGACTCGCATAAACAATGGCTCATAAACAACTTTGTTTTGGTGTACAGGATAAACATATCAGTAATATTCTTTATCTCATTTCAGGTCTCCTTGAGATATCACCTGTGGAGAGAGGGGTTGTGACGATCTTTGGCGTCCGAAGTGGTCTGTTTCTGGCCATGAACAGCAAAGGGAAGCTCTATGGCTCTGTAAGTATACATGATATGTTTTCTGGGACGTATTTCTGGGTCACAACATACTTTATTTTATGAAAGGTCCCCACAGCAAAATGATTGTCAATGTCTTGGCATGCCTTTATATGTTTGTAGCTTATGAATGTCATAGTAAGCTACACCACAGGTGCTTTCAATATAAGGTGTATACCTGTCCATTCCCTGAAGTCCATGTACAGTATATGGTATATGAAAGTAAAGTTGAATTGGCCACAAAATCCCAAGTGTTGAGATTGACCTGCGTGATTTGGCCACAGAGGTTCTAGGTCAGCTTCCCTATAGTCTGCTGTACATTGCGTTATTTTAATGTTTCTTAATGTAGACCTTAACCTCTCTTCTCTCATCCCTTCTCTAGGGTCATTACAATGACGAGTGCAAGTTCAAGGAAAGTCTCTTGGCAAATAACTACAATGCTTATGAATCTGCAGCACACCCAGGGATGTATATTGGACTGAGTAAGACTGGCAAAACCAAAAAAGGAAACAGAGTAACACCAGCAATGACAGTGACACACTTCTTACCGAGGATCTGAATGATTCCAGAGAGACTGTGCCTTCAACAGAGGGTAGAGGAGAGAGTGGAAACAATGCACTTTCTAATGTTTTCTAGGGTGTGATATTTAAATTGTTTATTTATGATTCCTGAGAATGTTATATTTTGGGAAAGTGGAATAACGTAAAAAGGGAACATGAATAATGATACAATTGTTTTTGTTTGGAATCTATGGAATGTGTGCTGCTATAAGTGTCTTGAGATGAGTTAATTTTTTTTAAACGTAAAATGGATTTTGCACTGTTTTTAAGTATTGTTGTTCAGCAATGGTTGTGCAGTAAGTGTTCTCATCTTACTTGTATTACTTTGAAAGAAATTGGGGACCCAAGTTTGTCAGAGTTGTGTCTCAGCATTTAAAAAAATACATTGATGGTAAAGGTCCAAACCATTCAAAGTTAATTACTGGTCCCATGATTAGTAATTTATTAGTTGATACAATGACAATTGGGACTTACAAAAACTAAACAACACAGAAATGGGTTTCTGCATTGAATTTGTTTAACAAAATGTATGGTCTTGGTCAGAGTTGTGTGTGTTATTGCAGTATTTCTATGTAAGAAAGACCACTTGTTCTTTTTTCATTCCTAATTGGTTTAGCTTTTTACTACCTCAGTATGGACGAGCAAGCTCTAGGGATTGTGTTGTTGTTTGTTCTGTGTCTTCTACAGTATGTTGTTCTGTCATCTTTCTGAGCATGACATATGACGTTGCCACACTTCTGTGCTTTACAAGTTACAACTTAGCCTACACTGTATACCACTGTAGTGTGTGGTTAGGGTTAAAGTTAACTCTGGTCCAGGGTTGAACTATATTTTTGTTGTATGCATGTATGGTAAAACCTCTTTCATAAATAGTACATGCAGCGTACAAATGACTGGACCCTTCTCTACTCTGGCATTAGTGAAGGTACTAGATTATCAGTCATTTATGACAATTCTACGTTCTTATGTTTTCTGTATTTCAAATATACGTCTTGTTGTAATCAATTCCTGATATGTGGTTTTGGAAATATATCCTTGTGAACTGACTTCCCTTGCAGTTGTCAATAGTAAGAACCCATATTAGCTTTGGGAGTATGTTGATATTTCTGTTTTTTAATCATGCAAACTAAACCAAGAAGAATGTCCTTTCTTGCTGGCACAGAGGATGCAGAAAATGAACATGTAAACGGAAAACTGAAACTAGATGTGTTTCTTACTGTATTCATTCATATTATCCCTTGTGATATCCTGCAATCAGTTCAACATTATATTATGTACCCTGTTATGCATTTCATGTGTATCAAAATTATGTCTGTAGTTTTATACAGGTCCTGTTCAACATTGTGGTGTATGTGCTGTGCACATTAAAATAACTTAAAGAAAGTAAATAAATTCTGTTCTGCAGCATAAACTATGTAGTGTGGATTGCTTTCTTCCAGAAAGGAGTGCATTGAAGAGTGGAAACGTCTTGATCAACATCAATCTAATATTCTATATATTCTATAACTAGTACTAAAGTTAAACAACAGACGTGTCTGTGGATAATGCCACAATTTCTTGTTAAAATCTATATAAAATATAAACATATCACAGATAATTTGTCCACACTAATGACCCACAGCACTTTCAGAAATGTAGAAAGCCTTTTCAAGTACTGATTGGTGCAATACATAGCCTGGGGGACATAGGCCTATCAGACGGTCCCATAACAAGGAAGTGTTACGCAGTGTGCTCTGAATGATGACTCACATGGATACAGTTCATACTTCAAACTATGACGCTTCAGTCAGTTACACTAAATAATGGGGTTCCCCAACTGTGACCGTCTTGCAATGCATTTTCAAAACACACCAAAAATCGAGATGTGAAATATGAATAATTATGCTTTTAAACTATCCTACCTCGCTGTGATTTCCATACATTTTCAGACCTGCAAAATACCTGCAAAAGAACAGTAAGTTAACCTAGAAATGCAGATTGAATTCAGCTCTGTTTCACATTTGTTTTCACTCACAGTGAAACCTAGCATGATTGATTTCCAAGCTAACTTTCAGTGACACTTGAACTCAAAATCAACAGCAAATCCACACTGGAGGTCATCATGCAGGGTGCGGAGGTCACCATGCAGATCATTGAGACGATGGGGTACTTTGTATGCTTGGATTTAACATGTTAAAAGCTTGTTGCATTCACACCTCTTTAAAGTGGTAATGCTGCTGAAATCTCATCAGTAAATTGGCTATGCTAATAGGGATAAACACAACTAGATTGTTTTACGTGTGACTGGCTGAGACAGTGTGAATGGAGGACAAAGCATTAGTCAATATGAGAGTGTGATTTCAATGAATTGATGAATTAATGAATGAATGTACAGTACGTCAGTGGAGCACCAGTCCAGCCTTCCTCTTTGGGCCCGCTCAGCTTCTATACATACTTGATTAATCCGCCATTCACAATGTAGTTATAGCGACATTCATAAGGTTAACATAGTGATAAACACATGTAAATTAGCCTTCTGACAGTTTACCATGGAAAATCTACAGTGGCCCTAAGCCTTTAGTATATTCAGAACATCACAGAGGGAAGTGGCCTATTGGGTAAAGACTGGTGTCCATTCCCGACACTATTATTTTAGGCCCCTTCTCTTTTCCACCATAAAGATGACAGTACACTGATACCTTCCCAGCCCAGCTGAGCGATCACTAAAAAAGGGGTCATTTCTGCACCAATTGTACTACCATCATCAACACCAACATTTGCACGTCGCTCGGGTGCTACTCCTACATTGAACAATTTACCTCAAGGGTCTGTTTTATTCCCTATGATCCTTTCATGTCCTTTAGATGTACAGAGGTCTCAACAAACTCCAGACAATCCAGGAAACTAGCAACAATGTGTGTGTTAACAGAAAGTGTATTGATAGTAATTGAATGGTGGTTAAGTTGATGGCCTTGGTAAACAAGAGGCAGCATGGCTTGGGCAATGGTTGGTAGTTGCTAGTAGCTATTTTCACATGATTTGTTCCTCTCTCCTTTGCAGTGCTAATGCACACACACTGGCCGGGAGGCTAGCAGCAGGGAACACACAGCCAGCCCTACACATTGACAGCAGGCAGTTGTGAAAGTGCGTGTATAATGCAACCGTCCTATTGCCTCTGTGTCTGAGAGCTCAGGTGCAAAAGAGGGGATGTCCTAAATGTTTACTCCTTTGGCTCTAGTCTAATGTGTTGCAGTCAAAGGGAACATGAAATGGTAATTCCTGAATGCAGTAGTGAATTAATTGCTACAAACTAATATCACCACTGTAAAAAAAAAAAAAAAAAAAACTATCTTGTTCAACACTGATATCCCTAAATAATGAGCAAAAAATAACACTCCTAGGTCAGGAAACTAGTTAATGATAGTGTATGAAAAATGAAGGATATGTTAAACTAAGAATTTGTTTTAAACTCTTGGACCCACTTAATCTTCCTCTACCTCTACTGCTGTGAGTGACTGGAAGGGAAACCTTTGACTATTCAATGTCCCATCAGAGTCTCAGCATCCACAATTGTTGAATCCATTAAATGACAGGGGTTTTTAATCCCCCTATTTACCCCCCTTTAACAAACACACACAGCCTCTGCTTTTGGGATAGGGTTATAGGCTCAGTGCTGGGAAGAACTCTCCAGGACAGGGCTTATGTCTTATTCTCTGTTATGGCCTGTAGGCCTGAGCAAATAGAAGAAGAGCTGTGGGAGGAGGACTGCGAGTACACCACAGAGAGGGGGTTTGTGGGTTTGGTAGTTTGGTGGGAGGTCAGGTTTACTGCTAAAGACTCAATGCATCTCACATAGTGCATCTCTGGCCGTGACCCCACTCTCTAAGGGTGTCTCATTTCCAATTCACATATGTGTATAATACACACTTGTACATGTGTGAAATAGAACAAATATAAGCACCCTCCAAATTATTATTATTATTATTATTATTATTATTATTATTATTATTATTATTATTATTATAGTGCAGTGATAATATGGACACTGGAGTGTAAAACAATGCAGCAATTTGGTGAATCCAGTAAGACTTCACTTGCTGGTATTCCCGGACACATTCCCCCATAATTTCCCTTTCAACAGGTGATTTGGGGACAGTAAGATACAAATGTCATTTTCACTTCAACACAAATGTACTTGCCTTTATATTACATCGAATTGAAGATTCACAAGCATTATTTGAGCCACACAAAGCTTGGTTTGCCTCTGTTAAGGTTTTGTTCTCTAGATCTCAGAGATTGTATTTTTATTTAAAAAACAAAACAATTGTGATAGCCCAGCCTCAGTTTATTGTTTGGCTTTGCTACTGTTTTGTCTGTCTCTGTCCCTTTATCTAGTCACTTCCCCTTGAGTTAAAACAAAACACTGAGCAGATGGAAGTCTTTCTTTCCCTGAGGTCAGACCACCTCGCACACAACAAGCTATACTATATTGTAGCAAACGGCGACAATGCAGCACTTGTTGTTGGTCTCTAACCCAAGTCTCCGAGCCCGTAGCCGTTCTCTCTAACCACTGCTCCAATATTTGTCTTTTCATGTGAAAAGAAATACGATACAAATATTTTGGAAAATATTATTGTTTGCGTGACTTCTTCTGAGTAAGTGAATGTCAAAGTAAAACATTGTATGCACTGAATCCAGGCAAGTCTTAAGCAAGTTTGCTGTCCATGTTTGAAAGAGGCAATTCTCAATGCAAACAGCACATTAAACATCAAAGGGAATTACTCATGGCCAGACATGAAAGAGGCGCTCATTTAAGAGTGAAATCGCATGATATACAGTCAGCGCTGCAGTAAGATGCCACATGCTCTGGTCTGTTTGTCTGTAATCATTTCTAAGCACGTAATGGCCAGCCTTTCCTTTGGTAGGAATTCACGATCTGGGAAGTCATAGCCTAGCTGTTCACCTGCCTCTCTTTCTTCTCCTTCCAAACAAAATGGCCACTCATGTGAAAGTGTTCATT